TTTGTCTCCACACTACACTTCCTCATCAATGGACAGCTCAATGAGAACAAATGTTGTGGACAACTGTGGGTTGGACATTGCAGGCTGGCTGCACATTTTGCAATGATGTACATGCAGGAGATCGGTTGTTGAAGCATGAATGAAATCGATTTCAAAAAAGCTCCAAGGCTTACTTTTTGAAATGACTGAGAATGGGTCATTCCAGAAAACATCCATACCACCCCCACAGAGGAAATAGGAAGTTAACCCCCTTCAGATGTCCTAATACATTTACTATTATCAGAAACAATTTTTTCTCCCCTCCCCCTCCAGACGGCAGAAATTTCCTCCATGGGGGGAGTATGGATCTTTTCTGGAACGACCCAATTCATTTTCCATATGAGTGAGAGTTCCTATCAGCCGCATGTGAGGATGCATATTACCACCTCTTTTCTTTACCCTTGCACAGTACAGAGAAGGAAAAACAAAGAGATTTTGAACCAAGTAACTTTGTTATTTAACTTAAAACTGCACTGTATATAACTTTAAATACTGTAAAAAATGAAATATCAGCTAAATACTAATTCAGTAAGAATTGTCTTGGTATGGAAATATCTTGTTCTGTTGTATATGCATTGTTGAATTGCCATGTCACTTTCTTGAGTATTACCAGAATATTAAGTATAGTTGAGCCAGCTTCCTACTATTATGGAATCTAGGATAGTTGTTGACTTTGCGGTTTTCTTAATAATCTCATATTAGCAACATTCCTAGATGCGAAGACTAACAGCATTCCCATCCCCATTAAGTTGTACATATACAGTTGCAGTCTTCTTGACAGTTCTTGTTTTATCCATATTGAAATTTGAGAAGCATGAATATCTAAAATATAATACAATTGATTTTCATTTCATTTCACAAACTGGAAACCTAAATCTATATGTTACACTAAATCTATCCAATTAATTTATTAACAGTAGATTTATTTCTAATTGAGAGAGAAACATACTTACATAAGTTACATTTGAACAAAACTATCTCTAAACTGGTTGGCAATCTTTTAGTTTTACTGATTCACCATTCAGTGCACAATATAAACTCACAATACAAATGAAATTTCTGCTGTCTGAAAGGGGATGGGGAAATGCACTTTTAGAATGGTAAAATGTACTAGGATGTGTAAAAGAATTTATGGGAGTTCTAATCTGTATGAGAGCTGTGGATCTAAGGCAAATTATTCCACATGTAGGCACTTTGCATGCTCCAAGGGAATAAACTATAAATTACAGTATTATTATATACTAGAGTATTTATTAACATGCGATAATTTTTAGTCAAAATAACTTAAACAAGTGCCAACGTTCACAGTGTAAAATGGATATGAGTCTATGGCCCACTAGTAAATTTTCATTATCAAATTATAATTTCTCAAAACTAAGCGCTTTAAAAAAATACTTTGTAGGCATATTAGCACCAGTCATAGGGCCATTATATGTTGAATTATAATATAAATAACAATAATATATTGCAGTTTTTCAATTACCTTCACAGTGACAGTGTTGTCAGACTGCCAGTGCAAGCAGCCGTGAGACATGACAAACAACGCGAATTCTTCGGCCAGGAAGATAAAAATTAGACGTGCTAGCTTCTTGTTACTTTCTCTCTCTAGACATCTTAATTTTTGAAGAGAAATTACTTATCTAGAGGTATATTTTAGCAAAAAAATACATTTCCAAACTGAAATATTTCATCTCAAGAAGGCCATGAAAAATTTGGACGCCAGCAATGAATTGGTCAGCGCCAAGGCAAATTCGCTTTTGCGCATGCACTAAAATGTCCATGAATCGTGGAGATTTTCACAGCCTTTACCAACACCGCGGAAAAACGTCTGCGCATGCACCAAATTATGAAAATATGGCGGGGAATTTGAATATCAATTTCTAAAACAAAAACATGCTTATTAATTGGTCAAAAATTAGTAAAACAAACGAGAAAATATAGCAAATGGGTAGACTAGACATTAATTGAAAGCGTCCTGGCATTTAAAGTATGGAATGAAATATAATTCATGTAAAAAATGTTGATTTTAACGGACACGACTTCGAAAATTTTTGCAAAATTATTCAAAACAAAAATTCAAACTAAAAAGTTAAGAAAACTCTCGAAAAGTTAAGCTTCTTAACCCACTCAAATTGTAGAATAAATCCTAAAGTTTAATTATTGTGAACACGAAAATTTTTTATATTTGGCGACACAGTTTTTTTTAAAGAAATGTATCTCAAACGAAAATACGGAAATTGTCGTTGCTTAGTTGATAAACAAAATGTTTCAGACGATAAATTTGTCAACAATCACCTTTAGTTCATGTTCTTGTACAATACTATTTCCTGAACCTTCTGGCTGTATTTATTCCTAGTTTTTAGAATGACATGTTTATTTTCGCGCTCGAAATCTGGCTGTAAAGACGCACAATGAAGTCACTCCTTTTTACCGCCATTTTGAGCCTTCGGAAACGTTCGGAACAGCTTCTCATCAAGTTCACAATACTATTACAGGTAAGGTTGACGCATGCGCAGACGTTTTTCCGCGGTGTTGCCTTTACCAGGGTCTTCTCATTTTTCACGCGCCATGCACGAAGAAGACCCTGGGGACGAGGTTGTAGGTGAATATATAACAGTTAAATATGCAGCAGTCATTTGAAATCCCGACCTCCCCTCCCCCCCTCGGGGATACCCGGGGCATACCGGGGATATTCACCGTTTTGTCCTTCCCTGGTCACTGGGGAATGCGCAAGCTTTCACTGCGCTGGCCATCAGGTCGGGGCCAATGTGCGGGGGATTCACTCATGTTGTTTTACACTGTATGTTAATAAGCTCACATGAAGTACTACCTGTATATTCCCTGTATTGTTGGCTAAATCTTTTCCAACCTCGCAAGCCAGGTTTTCTACCTTTCTTCAGGCTTTTTACTGTAAAACTTTTCAAGCTTCATGAGTTCATGTCGACTTTTTATATGCCTTTTGTATAAATTGAAATAAATTCAGTATTTTTACTTTCCTCGTTGTTTGGTGAGAACTCAGGATCTAGAGTCTAAACAAATATGCTTTGCAAAAATATTGCTTCAAAATTACGCAACCAGCTAGCCCGAAAATACTTTGTCTTCAGCATTGCTCCTTCAATATGGTGTGATTTGTCTTTGGCGTACGCTTGATATTTTCAGTTCGTGTGACATGAAGCTGCAATCATGACGTACATTTCAGGTTGCAGCGGCGTAGCCAGCTCGATAATTGGGGGGGGGGGCCATATTCATAGGTCCGTGTTCTGCATTATAAATTTATTTTGAAAGTGATTGTTTTTAAGGTTTGTGAACACAAATATATGAATATGCCGGCCCCTACCCCCCAATTATCTGAGCTGGCTACGCTGCCGCCAGGTTGCGTAATTTTTAAAACAGGTGTAGAACAGCGAGTTATGTGAAAACCTTTTTTCAATCAGATATATCATAAGGAAAAAAAATTATATAAAATAATAAAATTATACCAAATGTTTCAATTCAGCCACAATTTGACATGTTAAAGCCAATTTCCATTCAGTGCAAAATGTTGTGTGATTGACTTTTTGCGATGTATCATCACTTTCTTTTGAAATGTGTGTGGTCAACTCATCCGTCCAGTTGCGTTTTATTGCATGTATTTCAAAAATCAATCGTGCAACATTTTGCACTGATAGGAAAATCAACCTTTACCATCATGTTTTGTCAAGGTTTTAATTATAACTTCAGTATACAAGATTTCCGGGACATTTTGTTTTAATTAAACAAGTGTCGCATTAACATAGCGATTTTAAAAGCTACCTATATTGAATATCAGGGAGAAGGCCGGGGAGTTCACCCTACAAATAGAGTGAATTCCCTCGGTGTCCCCGAGGGGGGGGGGGGAGCGGGGGTCTCAAATGACTGGTGCATAACACATCAAATTTGACCAATCAGCTTGTAGGATTTGTTATCTTATTGTTCACTTGTGGAAAAATACTAAGCTAGTATATTAAATTATCAGATATTTTAGGAATCTCGATCACTTGATCGAACCAATGTTGAATAATTTTATAGATGGAAATCTTGATTAGTGTAAATTTTATACATTTATTTCCACCTAACCAGCAGCAGTTGAGAAAAATGCAACTTACAGCCAGTACTATATGTATTCAGGCAGGAATTGAACATGTGACCCTGCATTTCCAGTGAGATCTATAATCAACTCAAGTTCATGATGAACGTGATCTAATCAACTCAAGTTCATTATGAGCATGCAAGTATAATACTGTTTCAGTCTTGTTATTTAACAACAGCGCACTTGCCCATGATTTGTGATTTACATTGGGAGTGACTGCAGTGACATATTGAGTTCGACGTTTGATTTGACAAGCTCGATCTGTGGACTACTGGACTGTAGTGTTCGATTGGGGCCAGAGGGCCTATACTTACTTGTATATGTATAAATTTACACTCAAAATTTCCGTCTACAAAATCATTCAACAATTTGCAATAATTATTCAGATTTTGGTGTCTCTGACAGCTCACAGTCACAGCTTTATATAGAACTCTTCAGCCTTGTGCCCTTGACTCCCTTGTGCCTTTCAGGTTTTTGCAGCTGGAAATTTGGAGCGGAAAGTTAAGTACAATTTTCAAGTCCGAAAATTGTATATAACAAATATTGCAACACTTTTCAATATACTTACCACTATTACTGCAAAATTGCTCAAAACACTTTCAAGTTTCCCAAAAAAGCTATGAGGGTTTCGTCTCCATTTTAAATATTTTTTCATATAATTATAATAACATTTTATATATTCCTTACATGAAGTATATCGTAAATTCGAGTAGCCGCGAGAATTGGAAGACTGGGGCGATATTTTGATGAGGCGTTGATTGTTGAGTTGTCGACACAAAATATTGTGTATGACAAATTCCTGCGCTGATTTCACGCATTTTACTCACAAAAATAACGAATATTTATCTTGAAAATGTCAATGAAAGCAGCCAGCCGTACGTCGAGTATTGAGGAATCGTATACCAACACAAATTTCTGGGGAATTGATGGCTACAAGAACACTGTCAAACGGCTCGAAGATGGTGCTACGCTTTGTGATGAGTTCATGAAAATGGTCCATGAACGGGCTGAAATCGAGATGAAATACACGCTAAAGCTGCGAGATTGGTCTAAACGCTGGAACGAGAGAATAAACGGCAAGATATCGGAGTATGGTAGCATGCTAGAAGTGTTTAAATCCACCCTACGCGAGGCTGAAGACGTGGCTGAAATACATGTCGAAAGGCACAACCGTTTGAAAGCCGACCTATGCGAATCGATAAAACAGTGGAAAAACCAACATTACCACAAGGCTGTGCTAAAATGGAAAGAGGTTAAAGAATGTGAAACGGGTTTTGCGAAGATTTACGAGCCGTGGGCAAGACGTTATACTAAAATGGATAAATCGAAAAAGAATTTCCATCGAGCAGCGAAACAATCAGAGCATGCTTCAGTGACCGCGAGCAATGCAGAAAAGGACGGCAACATGCCAGATAAAGTGAAGAAATTACAAGATCAAGATATGAAGCTAAAGCTAGAGCTCGAAGAAGCCCGTAAAAAATACGAGCGGCGCTTGTCTGAAATGAATGCGTCAAATGATACTTATGCTGATGAATTAGAGGCTGAATTTATCAAGTGGGAGCGTTTTGAAAAGGTCCGATTAACTTTCTTTAAAGACGCCCTACAACGTTACCACAATGTACTGGATATATCAGATAATGAAAGGTATGCAATGAATTTGTGCCTTTTGTATTGAACCGCAACTAAATTTCAATTACCCTCTAATATTAATTTATATTTCGTGTTGCCCCGAAATTTTAAGTGTAGGCTGTTTCCGGTCTTTAATTTCATGTCATTTAAAATAATAGCGGCTTATTGTTGCTCAAAAAATTTTTAAATGCCGCTGGAATTTGCTAAACATTTTCCAGTCCTTTCTATTAGAGTTGCCAGTTGAAAACATCGTCATCAATCGGCTGTCAAAGCAAATCAAATAGATACAGTCTCCATTTGTTTATATTTCAATTTGAAATTTGAAACCAGGAAATTATAAATGGCGAGATTTAGTTGGCATCTCGATTCAAGTCGATTTAGGTCCTAATTCCCCTCGATAATAACCATCTCCAACAATTAAAAATGGATCATATTGAGGTCCAATTCATACAACTGGTAATAGGAATTAAGCATACAGCGAGCAATCTTTCTATCACAAGTCTATTTCCTCATCTGTATAATTATAAGCAACTTGCTAATTTTTCTGCATGACGTGATGGCGTCAGAAAACCAAAAACGTGTTATAGAAAATTTGTTGTACATACGCACGTGAAATGAATAACAAATAAAACTTTCCAATTATGCCTTGTCACAGAAAACTTGCTAATTTGTATAAACCGGCTTATATCAAAGGAGGATCTCAGTGCATGAGAGTTGACAGTCACGCGAGCTTGGTTAGCTGTTCTGAACTATTAATGCTTTCCGAACACTATCATGTATTCATGTTAAAACATAGTTGGAACACTCACCAAACCTTATTTTGCTAATCTAGTGCTTGAAATGTCCAGGCTGTAACAATGTGTGACTACCAAATCTCATCTATGTTTGACTGGGTGTCTAATGAGCTTATTATTAAAGTCAAATAGATATAGTATCAATTTGTTTACATTTCAATTACAGAATTGAAATCATGATCTAATAAATGCCCTAATTTATTTTGACTGATGATATTTAACAAAGAGTATACTACGCTGTTGCAGTATGAAAAGTACTGAAAACCAATATTGAAATAAATAAAATACCGATAATATTGAGATATATGTAGGTATTTCCACTCCTAATTTATTAATTGTTTCCATCACATGAAAAATTCCTATTGTGTTCACGCCCAAATATTTTTTGCATGTTTACAGTTCTAATTTTAAATGGCCAATCAAATTGTTATAGTAATTGTGATGAAGAACTGGATAGGCTGTTTAATTTTCAATTAAAATTGTAAACATGCAAGAATAGGTAGATGTGGTCGTCAATGACCACAATACTCTGTGCATATAAATACCACAATACTCTGTGCATATAAATACCACAATACTCTGTGCATATAAATACCACAATACTCTGTGCATATAAATGTTAACCCATTGATTGCCAGTGCTGTCTTTTTGACAAGTGAATTGTCTTGCATTAGACAGTAAAGTAATAAAGTATAAGTGCATTAGAGCACAGTACAACTTGATGCTCCCTACTTTATTATATTTCTCTGTGCATAACTAGGTGTATAGTCCTATAACATATTGAGCATGATCACTCTCTCCTTGATGAGTACAATTGTCTGGCATTGGACAGAGTACAATAACTAGTAAAAGTAAAATTTATTTAAGCCAAATGAACTAAGCAACTTGGACATTTTCCAAAAAGAATTCATGCGATTTCATTGGTCGAGAGCCATGATCTATTAGAGGGCAGGCGCATGGAATTACGTCATTAGTTTTTATAAAAATGTTGAAAATATTTGAAAATTCCACTGAATTTATACAAATTGAATGAATTCATGCAATTAAATCTAGTATAAACATCAATAAATACCTTCGATAAATGTGCAAAAATCACTCACAAAAGCTAGCAACTCGGCAAATCTCAATTCAGTCATTCAGCTGCGACTTCAAATTCAATCCGGTCTTCGAAAACAAAATATTTGACTCATTTGACCCTGTCGATGTCACATTTTCCGGCTGGTTTCTTCACTTTGTGTAACATAGACAATGTTTAAGTGCTTTTCAATCGCCATAGATGCTCAGAACAAAATAATTGCCTTTTTATCACACATGTTTAGTTCTTTAAAACAATGTTTTATCTGTTTTGAATACTTTGATAAATTTTTAGTTTTTAAGTTTTTCCTTGGGTCATTCCAGAAAACATCCATACCTCCCCCATGGAGGAAACTGGAAGTTAACCCCCTACCCCCTTCGGATGTCCTAATACACTTACTATTATCAGAAACAATTTTTTTTTCTCCCCATCCCCCTCCGGACGGCAGAAATTTCCTCTGTGGGGGGAGTGTGGATCTTTTCTGGAACGACCCATTTCTTATATGAAAATGCTGTGCTGAGTAGTTATATTACTGCCTTAAAAAACAAGCAGAAACTCGACGTTTCAAGCGAAGGCCCTTCGTCAAGAGTTAGTCAGTTATAGAGTTATATGTTGCTTTGCAACAATGCTAGGGCATAAATAATGAACATTATCCGTGGAGGGCTATTTGGTTTACTAAGCCAATGTCCAATATTAAGCTGCAAATAAGCAATACCCATCATACCTTGCGTGCTCAACAACCTTTTTTGAATTGGCTAATAGTATATATAGTTTTAAAGTCATGATCCCCAACCTATGTGGGTGCATGGCAGTTTAAAAATGGACGACCATTTTAGCAATCCTGGATAAAATCCTGATTCACACCACATTTTTGCACAGTTTGGACACCGCAATATCTTATGAAGTTTCTGCCACTGCCAATCATACATGCACCACTGCTATGATGAAGATACTAATTGTGGTAGTTAGTATGTCACTGTAAATAAGTTACATTTTCCTAATTGCTTGTATTGAATTTTGCAGGATGACCAATATTTACAATGGCTTATTAAACAAAGTGAGAGGTTCTGATGCAACCAAAGACTTGAAGTGGTGGTCGACACAATATGGACCTGGAATGACAAAGAAATGGCCTGAATTTGAGGTGAGTTTCTCTTTTTGAGGTTTCATTTCCAAATGATGTACACAACTGCGGCCGGTTGTACAAAAGATGGCTAAATCGTCATCCAGAGGATAAATTTTATCTTGAGTGAAAATCGTGTTGTATTGTACCACACTGGAAAGTAGGACACTTTAGCCCGAGATCTCCTGCGGCTGGCTAGCTAGGTTATAATACTAATTACTAATAAATTTCTGTTATTGCAACAGTTCTCCTGCGGCAACTTGTTGACGCTTTCCACCCAGGGTATTGTACGAAATTCAGATAGCATTATCCAATGGATAAATGTACACTATCCGTTTGGTAAATTTATCGGGGGGGGGGGGACATTCGCCAATAACGATCTATAACCATATGTCCGTGGCTGGGCAACTTTACGAATTCAGTCCTGCTCAGACGAAGGTTGAAGGTAGAAATGAAGAACTACCATTGAGAAGTCCCTTTTTTGACACTAAATGAACATGGAAATTGGAAAACTTATCTATCATTTTTCTTGCTCTTGACGTACGCCGAGGTCACATGCCTACTAAAGAATGCAATGGCTTTGCCATATTTTACAAAGACCAGTGTCAGTGCTAAAGTATTCAGATGGCTTTTTGCCTTCTTCTATTTTATAAAAAAACAACAAGTACTGTAGCAAAACTTTCACTATTGGTTGTTAAAACAAACAATGACTTCCTTTGAAAGTTCAAAGCCGAATAAATAATTAAATATGCATGCATATATATACGTAAATAGACAACAAAACACCGAAAGTTCGCTCACTTAATTCCTTTGATCAGCCAATCAAATCTTGGGAGAAAATGTTCTTAAAATTGTTTTGAATAAAGTGCAAGGTCAAGGAATAAGTATTGGGACAGTACAGTGAATAAAACTGAATGAACGTACTGAAACAAAACAAAGCTAACTGCCTTTGCTATTGCCTAATTCGCATAAAGAAGCTAAAAATCTTTCAAAAAACTCATCGATGAGTGGTGAAATGTGGTTAAATTGAAGTATTGCAACGAATGGGCGAGAAAATGCAAAACTCATATAATAACTAAAATATAAACATAAACAAAAAAAATTTATTGCAAGTTGGCAATTCACAAGTTATACAAAGACACTACAATAAAAGTTTACAAATGCCCAGCAACAGCTGATGTACAGGTAGAGATAAGAAATTTTGTGAAAATCAAAGGTTATCTGACGGATAGCTATTCACCCCATGCTATCTGTTCTTCGTACAATGCATTTTTATCTGACAGATAGCTCCATCAGATAGGACTTACCGGGCAACTTATCCACCTTTCGTACAGCCGGCCCCTGGAGTTTAGAAACTTGTTTTGTGAATCATGCAATTTGATTGACTGATCATGTGACACTCATGATATCATCTTGTCTTGTTGACTTGCTCGAAGTCCCCTTTCTGCCTAAATGCGAATTTAACATGTCGCAACGGAAAAGGAATACGCGATTGTATACAATGCACGTTTACATCTTTCGTTTAGTTTTCCTTCTTTTTAATTTCAAAAGTACCCAAACCACAAACCATAGAAGCTTTTCAAAGAATAATAGTGTATGTCAACTTACGAATCATGTTATATGATTCTCGAAATGGTCCTTGTGAGCAAGATGACAGCGAGAGTGATCTTGCTTATAGTTTAACTCAAACTTGCAGCATGTACATCATTTTTATCAAATGTCTCTTGGCGCAACATACAGTATGTCCTTATGAGTGTAAATGAGCTATTATTGTATACTGTACATTTCATTCAGTTAGTCTTGCCAGAGTCTTTGCGACATTAGCAGTAAAATATAGTTTACTTTTAATATGCCAATTATTCATATCTTGCGTTTACGGGAGAGAAAAGGTTTGTGATTCGTGGAGAATTTGACATTGTAGCATTTCCTGGATTTCACCATCATGAAAAGCAACATCGCTTGTTTCGGATAATGGTCGTCTCTGAATGCTAAGGATGTCCTGGTTCGCCAATAAAGAACGAAGAAAGCCTCCAACATCCCTGGCCCGCGTTTACACGAGTTGTAAGTTCGGGTTCGCAAGGTTTTTTTCTCAAAGTTTATTACACGCTTCTTTAAAATGAAAAATATTAGCCTTTGGCCTGTTGTTTGAAAGCTGGTTGCCTTAATACTGTACGTTAACAAAATCTTCCCAGAAACATTTCTATAAAATATTAGCCGAGATATAGGCGTTTAAACTCAAGGTAGCATTTTTGGAAGCGAAAAATGGCCATTTTATTACAATGATGCAAATTTATAGACCATTTTACACCATTTTTCGCTTCTTCCAAAAACGCTATCTTGACTGTGAACCCCTATATCTCGGCTAATATTTTATAGAAATATTCAAGGCATGCATCAAAATTTAAATTAGACATTACTGCGTTCAATCAACTTTATTGGAATAAGATTTTTAATTACAATAAGTCAAAGAGGGGGGAACTTTTTTGCGCCACCCGGTAGAAGTTTTATTTTCTAAATTTCTGAAATAAACAGTCGGGCAGAAATAGACACTGTAAAGTGTACCTTGGGTCGAACAATTGATTGGCACGCTTGTCTTCCAACATAATTTACCATCATACAGATTTTAGTGCGGGATGCAGTGTCCCATTGCATTGCAGGAAAGCTGAGGATGGACAGACATGCAACTATACTGTATAGCTGAAAAATACAGAAGAAGAAGTGGATGTAAGAAGAGCATCGACATTTCGATCGAAGGCCGTCTGTGGCCGGTTGTATAAAACTCTTAATCACTTTTTTAATCACTATTTTGTAGTTAAATAGTGATTAACTCTCAAATACGCGCTTCTTATTGGACGACGTTTCCACTAACTATAGTTAACTTTTAATCACTTTTTTATACAACTAGGCCCTGGAAGTTAATCTTTCTTCTTCCCGACCAAGTGCCTTCGCTTGAAACGTCGAAGTTCTCCTTACCGTATTTTTCAGGTAGTTGTATCATATCAATCCGCTGCTTTCTTATTATTGGCGCTGTACCTACACTGCCACAGACCCTTGGGGATTATATCATTGCATTGCAACCCCATATCTATCCAGTAAGAAAATTTCTAAATTGATCACCAGAAAAACAGGTCAAATGCTTCATTCAAACCGACCTATCATTGCAGCGCGAAAAGATATGCTATATTGCACTAACCATGATCGGTATTGTGCTTTACAATATGATCATCCATCAATTAAGACATAAAAAATGTTTAAGCAATGGCCCAGTCTCACGCCTCTGTAGTATGAAACCCACAAGTGCACTGAATAGTCAGTGTCTCGCTTTTGTTCAGCACATAAATATTGTGCTTATATGTATACGTAAGAGCGTGTACACAGTAGGTACATGGAAATTTTGACTGTTCCAGAAAAGAAGGCTTGATTAGCTGGATGATAACTATAGTTTTTGGTGGTTTGCAATCAATCCCTTGAGATTTGTAAGACGAATGTATGCTAGCCATGTTTAGAACGTGTACACAGTATGTAGTTTTGGGCCGTTCAATGAAAGGAAGCTTGGTTATCTCGACGTTAACTGTACTGTAGTTCGCTCATTTGAATCTGTTGCTGCTGGTAAATTCACTGCGAATCCGAATGCCTTTTCTCTCGTGTAAACGTGGTCTCCTGCTCCTCTACAGGAACCTGATGTATGGAATCTTCCCTCGAACCGCCAGCCAACCAAACAAAGCTTCGTAAGACGTCTTAGCTTGCGAAAGCGGAACAACAAACGACAACAAAGACCACAGATTACGATGACGTCACCTGTACAACATGATAATACAAGGTTGTCAGAATCAATCTCGTATGATTCGTTCAGTGGCTCTACAGAATGGAGTAATGAAGATGTTTCTCCCAATAATAATCTTGACTATGATAATCCTAGGTCATCATATTATCAGAAGCCTGCAAGCGCTCTACGTGAAAGCTCATCTCATGATGAACGTTATAGATCACCAAGCATAGTAGATCAATATACAGATGCGTGGAATCGGAGTACAACATTCTCCCCGACAAACGAATATCAAAATGGTTATTCCACTTACGATCAACCTAGCGGTATAAATTATTATAGTAAT